ATAAATAAAAAAGTTTTCTTCCTACTTATTAACAATCTCACTTACCCCCAATCCAATGTAAAACCACAGAATTCTCTTGCTGTTTGCTTGGAGCTGCCTTCATCAGTTACTCATACCTTTTACCGCGATTATTTTTTAAGGCGTCAAACTTGTCTCATACTTTCTCCTTCGGTCTACCCTTCATGCTCAATGTGCATTTTTTCCCCTGAAAAGTCCAGGTACTACTGTTTCCCTAAACCTATGCATGATGTAATGTTTATTGCTTGCAGACTAAATCCTACCTGGTAAACTTGGCATCTTATACTCTACAAGGTGATATCAGTGAAACAGTCCAACCTTTTCTCTCTTTCACTCCCTTCCCTGAACCTCTGTCAACACCAGACTTGGTCATCTTCCTCAACCTGCTATGTATATTTATGTTTCTGTTTTCTCCCACTATTTTTTTCTAAATCTCCTACCTTTCGTCTGTATTTTTTTAAAAAATTTGACCAAAACCAGTCAGTTGCATAACAAATCACCCAAAATTTTAGTGACTTAACAGTAAAATTTATTATCTTCCACAGTTTCTGTAAGTTTGGAATTTTGGAGTTATCATGGTTGAGATGTATGCTGGGGATCATTCATGAGCTTGTAGCTTTCTGAAGGCTTGATGGGGAAAGAGGTCTGTTTCTCAGGTAACTCACTCGCATGGCTGTCAGGATGGCGCTGACTCAGGACTACCAGAGAGTTCTTTGAGGCTGCTGGCTCCCTCAAGGAGAAGCAATCCAAAAGATCAAGGTGGAAGTCACAGTGCCTGGTACCATCTGGGACAAGAGTCTCATACCATCCATCATGTTACTCTTTGAACGAGCTCTGAGGTGAAGGAGATGATACATGAGCAAGAACATCAGGAGGCAAGGTTCACAGGGACAGTCAAGAAGACTGGCTGATATGACCCCCGTGTCTCTGTTCTCAGTAGCTCTAATTCTTTAAACATTAGATCTCCTGGAGACTGCTTAACAAACCCATATTTTCTCTTTTTCATATTTATTTGGTATGATGTCATGTGAACCTGCAAAATTGCTTTGGCTAATTATCAAAGAACATAGTGCTGAGGAATTTTGTTCTCTAAATCCTAGACACTCCAAAACTCTGTCATTCTGAGATTATATCAGTTGAGAACAGAATATCCCCTTCTTGCTTGGAGGATTTGAATTATGTGAGTTTGGCTTAGAATAGTGGCTTCAATTTAGGGATGAGGAGTTTATAGACATAATATTCTGCATTAATTTAAAATTCATGCTTCCAAAGAAATAGAACCTGAAGTCTGCTTCTCAATTCGAGTTCAATATTAGAAGTAGATCTGATTTACTTTGAGCCTCTCGAGCATGGCTTCATTTAGGTTTTACACTTCTTCCTCTAAATTTAGTAACTCCTTACTTCATTCTTTGTGTGTGTGTGTGTGTGTGTGTGTGTAGTACAATTCTCCTGCTGTGTGCTGGTATGGTGCTCATAATATTAGGTGACTACAGCAATAGCTAATGTGTACTGAGCATTTTTGATGTGCCATGTGCCTCTTATTTATGCTTGCAACAAGTATTCTCTGTGGTAATTGGAAAGGATATATGTTTATGACACGATGTAAAATGTTGATATTCTGTTAGCAAAATATCAATAGATTTGATTGCTTGTTTTTGTTGGTTATCCATGTGCTGTTTTCTTGTGTGTGTGTGTGTGTGTGTGTGTGTGTAGTACAATTCTCCTGCTGTGTGCTGTTCCTTTTGCATCAAGTTAGTAAAGCTAACTTTACTGGGTTACAGGTTTGGTGTCTCTGATCTTTTTCAGATGGGAATATCAACAACTAAAAACCATTGCAATCTTATAATTAACTCTCTCCTTCCTTCCTTTCCTTCTTTTTTGTTGATTTATGTTTATGTGTATGAATGTTTTGCTTGCATGTAAGTGTACCACATGTATGCAATGCCCACTTAGGCCAGAAGAGGGTGTCAGATCCCCTGGAACTGGAGTTAACTGACCGTTGTGAGCTGGCACATGGGTTCTTGGAACTGACTCTGGGGCCTCTGCAAGAGCAGCTAGTGCTTTTTGCCACTGAGCCATCTCTCCAGCTCCCTTACTCTATTTCCTGTCCTTTCTTTTCACTTTCTTTTATCCCCTTCCTCCCTGTCTCTCCCCTCTCTTCTTTCCTTCTTCCAAGAATCTTTTATGCTTCTTGAGCAAGAATATTTTACAGAATAGCTTATCAGTGGGTTCTTATCTTTCTTCTGAATGTTTTGAAATCTATTTCCTTAATAGATATTTTTTACCAGTTTTGATAGCACCTTTTTCAGTGTCACAAACTCACTTTCTTCCCAGGTTTCCAACTGTTTTACATTATCTGTAATTCACTAATGAATTAGAACCTTCCCCTCAGGTCCGGCTAGTAGACCCTTCTTTGCCTTTACGGCATAGCTGAAGTCATCTTTTGGCAAGCCTTAATTGAAAGTTCTGGAACAATGAAGCATTTTCTTATTGGTATTCTCATAGCACCTAGTTAATTTCTCTGACATTTAACTAATCTATATTTTTTTCTTGATGTTTTTCTTCTCTACTAGCCTCTGGAGAATAAGGATTGATTGTTCATACTCTGATTCTCTGGGCCAGGCACACTTAATTACCTAAATGATCCCACGGGAATGAAAAAACGTCCACACGACTTATGGAGAATTTAGTAGAAGCACCACTTTTGCATAACTTAGAATTTTGATTGTTAAGCACCTGTACATAACACACATTATTGTGTCCGGTCTTGGCCATTCACCTAACCAGTATTAGAGAACTACCAATATACATGAGGCAACACCCACAGCATGGTTGTTTCATAAGCTACCTTGTATAGGCAGCTTTAAAACGTGTGTACGTATAGTATGAGGTTTTTTGAGCGTACTTTCTGACAATTGCTTTTCTAGTTTCCTCAACTGAAAACAGCCATTCATCATTAAGTTATTGTGTATGTGCTAGAATAAATGTGCTAGGGATAACAGTTTCTGCATGACAGGGGTAGGACCCGAAAAGAATGCTAATCTGTAAAGCCATTCTGTTCCTGGGGGTAGGGCCAGCATTAATACAATGCACGATTGTTATTTCTGAATATCCCTTTGCAAAGAAGTGGTTCTCAAACTTTCTTTGACCAGCCCACACAAAGAAATACATTTCTTATCGCCATTCGCGATACATAGCTACCAAAAGAAAAAAAGGAATATTCTCGAAACTCCTTGTCACACAGCTTTTTCTCTTGCTTTCTTATTTTAAAAAATACAAAGAGGTGGTTCCATTCTCCCAAACCGATTTCACAGTCCTCTAGAGATTATAATCCAGGGTGGAATAAGATAGCTGAGGTGCTCTGCGATGGACGGGGGCCGCTCCTCTGCTTCCCCGCTCCTTTAAGAGGGCGGTGAGAGCACATCCCGAGGGTGGCGGAGGGGCAGCGCCGGCGGAGTCCACCGCGCAGGCCAGGCCGGCTCTTCCAGTTCTTGGGAAAGCCCGGGTGTGGGTGCGCCGACTGGGCAAATCCGGAGACCGCGCAGCCCTCCGCCTCAACTGCGCACACGAACAGCCAAGCGAGGACTGGCCGCTTAAGCCCGCTGCGTTTCCGGCGACTCCGCTGGGGTCCGCGCGTGCGCAGAGCGCGTCCCGCGGAGCAGCTGAAGTCCGTGGTGGGCTGGCCCAGCGGCGCGCGCCAGGGGGCGTTCCCGCGGCCGGCCCCGCCCTCCTTCGGCAGCGAGCTCTCCTCCCAGTCTCCCCCGCGCTTCCTGCACTGAGGTAGTCGTGGCCGCGTCCCGTTCCCCGCGGCTCGCTCGCCCAGCCGGTGCCATGGTGGCCTTCAGCAAGTACTTGACGGCGCGGAACTCCTCGCTGGCGGGGACGGCGTTCCTGCTGCTCTGCCTGCTCCACAAGCGGCGCCGCGCCCTTGGCCTTCAGGGGTAAGGCTCTTGGCCGCGACGCCTTCCCGGGCCCGCTCGCTCCGCGCTCTGCGCCGCTGGGTCCCGGAGCCCCGCGGAGTCGGGCGGAGTGAGGGCGGCCTCAGCGTCCCTCGGCCCGGAGGGTCCAGGAGCTCCCGGCCCCGCAGCCCTGCGGCCGCCCTCGCCCCGCTGGCCTGGTGTCCCCCGGGCGATGGTGACCCTGTGCCGCGGCCGCAGGGAGGAGGGTAAGCCGCGTGCCCGCGCCCCAGACCGCCTCCCTCCGGGGTGCCAACTTTCTGGGAGAGTTCTAGTTCTGCCATCTCATGGCCCGACCGACGGCGGATGGTGTGTTCTGCGGACCTGGATGTGGGAGTTGAGGATAGGGATGCCGTGGCGAAGTCACTCGGACTGGGTTGAGTAGTTGCGGTGCAAAGTCGCCCGGGGGGTTCGGGTGAGGGATTCCCACTTGGCATGCCTTGTTTGCTTTCCAAAGTGGTGCCCTCCTACTCGCCCGGATGGCTCAACGAACGCCCTGACATTTCACCTGGAAAAGCTGAATTGGCTTGGTGGTGGTTCGAGGACCAGGTTTCTTCCCTTGGCTTTGTAGGTGAAAGGTCAAAGTGTGTTTTAGGTGAGGTTGTGTGGTTCTGGTTAGTAACACTCCACTGCTTCCTGTGGCGAGAGAACGTTCAAGTTTACTTGGAACTCTTCCGCGGTTCTAAGATTACTGTGGAAGAGAATGGAGTTTTGGTTGTGATGACAGGCACAGTTTTTATTTCCTGTGCCGTACTTGGGTTCAGCGAGTGAATGAGAAAAGATGACTTCCCAAGCATTATTGCTAGTCATTGGATATTTAATATTAAATCTTAGCATTTTGTTTTCATCACTCCTGGGCAGGGACTAGTACCTGCTGCGTTTGATTTGCCTGAAATAACAAGAATATGGAGTAAAGCACGGACAGGGAGCTCCAAGTACCCATTCCACGAAGTTCTCCGACCTTCGGTCTACCCTACCTATAGTTTGCAGTCACGACCCTTCTTTTTCTTCCTAAATCTGCTAACAAAATAAAAATTGATCTGCGTTGTAGTACCTGTTCACTTTTTTTTAAAATGAAAGGATTAACTCTAAATGTTTTTCTATTGGATTGCATCCTTTCTGAACTCCCATTTACAAATAGAAGTTACCTGTCATTTGGGACTATGTCAAGAGGAAATATTAAATTCTTTATCTTGGGCTACATTTTTGCAGAGAAACTTTTCAGTGTGTAGAACAGGCATTTTAATATGGGTGAGGGAATGTGGGGACCACCAACAGCTCTGGCTTTGATGAGGAAATACTTTCGTTTAAAAGCAATACTTTCGTTTTTTAAAATACTTTATTATTTTTATTTTGTGTGTATATGTGTATTGCCTGCATGTAGGTAAGTGCACCAGTGTCGTGCAATGCCCGCGGAGGACAGACGAGGCTGTCCGATCCCCTGGAACTGGAGTTATGGACAGTTGTTAGCTGCCATGTAGGTGCTGGGATTTGAACCCGGGTCTTCTGCAAAAACAGCCAGTGTTCTTAACCACTGAGCCATCTCTCCAGTCCCTAAAAGCAATATTTTCTTTACTGGGGCATCACACACACACACACACACACACACACACACACAC